TGCACTATGTATCCACAACTTTCCATATCATGCCTGTGATTCCCATTTCACCCTTCTCCATCATCGCATCATAAGGTAAGCCTATACAGCGGTCATTTACGTCAGTTTTCACCTTCGCAAGTGGTAAGTCAGTACATTCATAATAACCCAAGCAAATCACCACTTAGGTTGTTTTGCAGTGACGTCAGAGGGAGGGTTTCCCCAGCTGCCCTGAAGACATACCCTCAAGACACAGCCCCCTTGTCACACACGATCTGCCGGAATCCACACTCCCTTCCACATCGTTATCCTTTTACTACACTGTTCAAGATTTGTATTTAAAGAACTTATAGGATCCTCAACTCTTTGTCCATGAACACACAGTTTGGGAAATTCATAGGTTCAACAAATCGCGTGAAACTTCAAAATATGGCAGCTATCACACGAGCTTGTTTACCGTGTTTGGGGCGCCACCTGTCTGAGGAAGACAGAGAGGTGGGAAGAGGGAGAGAGTGGAGTAGGAGTAGGGCGAGAGGGAGAGAGAGAGGGGGGGGGGAGGAAGGAGAGAGAGAGAGAGAGAGAGAGAGAGGAGGTAAAGACACATCAACAAATTGTTACACATACAGAGGGTGTGTAAAACAACAACAACAACAACAAAAAAAACGTAAAATATATATATATAAACTATTAAAAAAATAAAAACGAGATTAGTGAAGTTTTACGCTCAACACACATATATGTATATATAATATATATGTATATATATATGTATATACATATATATATGTAATATATATATATATATATATATATATATATATATATATATATATATATATATGTATGTAGATATGTGTGTGTGTGTGTGTGTGTAAAAACGAGATTAGTGAAGTTTTACGCTCAACACATATATGTATATATACATATATATGTATGTAGATATATATGTGTGTGTGTGTGTGTGTGTGTATATGTATATATATATATATATATATATATATATATATATTATATATATATACATATATACATACATACATACATATTTAGTATGGATGTGTGTGCATGTGTATAAATGTATATATATATATATATATATATATATATATATATATATATGTATATATATATATATATATATATATTTATACATATATATTTACAAACATATCTATCTACATATATATATATATATAATATATATATATATATATATATATATATATATATATATATATATATATATATATATATATATATATATATATATATATATATATACATATATGCATATATATATATATATATATGTGTGTGTGTGTGTGTGTGTGTGTGTGTGTGTGTGTGTGTGTGTGTGTGTGTGTATACTATATATATATATATATATATATATATATATATATATATATATATATATATATATATACATGTTTATATGCATACATATATATAATGTATAAAATAAATAAATATATATATATATATACATATATATATATATATTACACATATATATATATTTACATATATATAGATATAGATATATATGTACACACACACACATGTATGTATGCATGTGCAGTCCGTGCTGGATATATACGAACTCCACCAGCGACCTTCACCGCACTCACCCTGACTCACCCTCTGCACATGACTCATTTTCTGAGGAAATAATAGTCGCCGTTAGGGTCCTGAGTCACGTGGTTAGGAAACATCTCTCGCTCGTTATAGGGAGGGATGGTCGCGGTGGCGGTGATGATGGTGGTGGTGGTGGTGATGGTGATGATGGTGGTGGTGGTGATGGTGATGATGGTGTGTGATGGTGAATGGTGGTGGTGATGATTGGTGGTGATGATTGTGATGAAGATGGTAGCGGTGGTGATGAAGATGGTGGCGGTGATGATGGTGGTGGTGGTGGTGATGATGATGGTGGTGATGATAGTGGTGATGGTGATGATGGTGGTGATAGTGGTGGTGGTGATGATGAAGATGGTGGTGATGATGGTGGTGTGATAGTGGTGGTGGTGATGAAGATGGTGATGGTAATGATAATAATGATGGTGAGGATGATAATGATGATGGTGATGATTATGATGAGTGATATTGATGATAATGGCTGATACTAATGATGGAAGAGACAGATATTAAGGATAGTAATGGTAAAGGCAATAAGATGAAACATGATAGCAATAACATAACAGTCACGAAAACGAATAAAAACAAAAATGATAATAATAAATTCCCCAAAAAGACGTGATATAAATAACGAATGCAGAACAACAACAGAATAAGATAAGAAATAAGGAGATAACACCTGTGAAGACAAAGAAAGAAACTAATAATATATGTAAACAAATAACAATAACCTGATATAACACAAAGATATTCATAACAACAATAACTGATAATAATAATAAATTGAGAAACAAAGATTACAAAGGGAACACAATAACACAATCTATCTAATCATAACCATTATCTTTATTCACAAGAAAATTCATAATGATAACAAAATCACTATAATGATTCCTATCATCATTGCACACTAATAACACAGTATAAAGTATCTTCAGTAATCACAAAGTTAATGATGATGGTGACGTTCATGATAAAAATATACCATAACAGAAATAACTATAATTAGCAGATAATGCTCATGGTTACAACTAATTAATCATTTAATTAATTGATTAGGGTAATATTACCTATGATGACTATAAAACCCATGATGTTATCGCTAATCTGGATATAAATTATACGTGTGATCATATGATTATCATTTATGTCATACTTATTGTAATTATTATGAGAGTAACTACGCTGATAATGATAATGATAACTGGAATCACAATAGCAATAGCATTGATGATGATGACAATGACGATGATAAGAATAGTAGTATCAATAGTAGTAGTAGTAGTAGTAGTCATAGTTGTAGTAGTAGTAGTAGCAGTAATAATAATGATATAATAATATAATAATAATAATAATAATAATAATAATAATAATAATGACGATGATAAAGGTAATTATAAATATAAGAATAACTGTCATATTAATAATGATAATGATACTAATAATAATGATAACGGCAATAATGATAATAATAACAATGATAAAGGTAATGATAAGAAGAATAACTGTTGCATTAATAATGATAATGACAATAATGATAACAACATTGATATCTATGATGATAATAATTACAATATCAGTAATAATGACAACTATAACAATGAAACTAAAAATAATACAGAAATAACAATAATGAAGATAATAATTAAAGCAACACCAGTCAGAATAACAATTATAAAGATTATATCCAAATATAATATTAATGACAATAATGTAACATATGATTATTCATAGATTGATGGCAAGTATGAAAACAAGAAAGAAATTTAATGATGATAAATCACATATGCAATGATATACATTAATGACAAAAGACGCATGAAATGTCAATAATTTGTACCATGAAATGTATATAATAAATTAATCACAAAATTGCCCTTAACGGTACATGATTCCAATCGGAAATATGGCATCACACAAAATACCTAAACTGTTCCTATTCTTTCTTTCTTCTTCTTCTCTCTCTCTCTCCTCTCCGTCATGCTCCTCATTCCTCTTACCCTCTGTCTTTTTCTATTTCTCTCTTTATTTGATTTCTTTTCCGTCTTTTCCTTGATTTAGTAATTATTTCTTCAGATCATTGTTAGCATTCAGGTGAAGATATCTTTGCTGAGGTCAAGATATCTTCGGGTGAAGATGTCTTCGGATCAAGATAACAAAACGTAAAGAAAAAATATTTTCAAAATAAGTTATCATCAATCGGTTCAAGAATTTTTAAGGTCAAGATAGTTTCGAACAAGTAATATATGGGTCAAGATATCTTCATATCACGATGTATCTCCAGTTAGAGATAACTTCGGGTCAAGATATCTTCAGATCAGGATAACTTCGGGTCACATCTTCAGATCAAGTTCACTTCATCCAGGTGAAGACATCTTCAGACAAAGATATCTTTGGGTCAAGATGTCTTCTCGTCAGGCTGTCAGGCATAATTTAAATTGGCATTCAGACATGTGCATGCGTACATACATACATACACACACACACATGTATATGTATGTATGTACAAGTATATAGTCCGATCGACAGATGGATAGTTTATATTTATATGTATATATATATATATATAGATAGATAGATAGATAGATAGATAGATAGAGAGGAATAGACGGAGAAAGAGAGAGAGAAACAGACCGAGGGCGACCGATAGCCAGTAAAATAGAAAGGCAGATGGATTGACAAAAAGTGATAGAGAGGGAAAACACAAATTCAAAATACTTATGAAAGCAACAGACATACAAATTAAAGGTTGGGAAATAAGCGATATAAAATCGAATCACAGTTTTGACAGAGGCCGTATGACTGGAAGCCAAGCACTAAATGGATACGATCTTATACGCAAAGAAAATACGAAAAAAAAAACCTACAGTGATTAAAAAAAAAAAATCATGAATCAAAACAAGGTAGAAAAACGGTTTAAAAGAAAACGGAAAAGATAAACGAGAGAAAACGGGAAGGCAATCACTTACCGGCAGGATAACTCATCAAAAAAGTATCCAGAAGAGCACTCCCTCCCTGCCAGAGATCGGCAGACGCAGCGGCAACTGTTGTAATCCCAAAAATTACCTACACTCTCGCACTTTGCCTTTTCTTCTCGGAGCGAACTGTGGGTGAAGAGTTCAGCTTCTGTTATTTGAGCTCTCTCTCTCTCTCTCTCTCTCTCTCTCTCTCTCTCTCTCTCTCTCTCTCTTCTCTCTCTCTCTCTCTTCTCTCTCTCTCCTCCCCACTCTCTCTCTCTCTCTCGCGTATGATAATAATAAGCAAAAAAAATAACAGCATCACGACTACTGTTCCTAATAATTACAATGATAACAACCATCACCACCATCATCTCACCACTTTCACACACTTTTCCTACTTCCACTACTACTACCACCGCTACCAAA